AAAACAAGGACTATTTGCCAGGCACTGCTTTCCATATGATACCACTTCCAATTACATAAAAATCCTAGAGGAAAATGTTATATTATTATAAACACAGAAACATTAAGTTATTGTACAAGATCATAATGGATCTGGCAGTCACCCCCATCAACATGGTTTATAAAGTCTTCATGCTCATTTGCTACCCTAAAATGCAGGGTACTTTTTTTGGGCAATTTTCTTCTGCTTGTAGTTGTTGTTTCCAAGAATGGAATATTTGTCATTGCTTCCAGAATACATTTTTAAATGCCTGTTTGTTCCACTCTTTGTTACCTTCTCTTGTCTTTTTGCTTTAGTAGTGTTAGTTATCACAATTCTTTATTTTATATCTTGCTCTTTGGTTTTATTAATGCTGACAAATCTATTGATACCATGTAATTATTCCAATAGAGTGTATGTGAATTTTCATTGGCTTTCCACAATGACCTCTTATCTACCCCCATGTACTTCATTTTAAAGACATGGTATTGTATGCAAACAGGTTAAGAAAATATTTTGTTTGTTTTGATTTTGTTAAGTTATACATACCTTTTATCAAAATTATGTAGCAAGGGAATTCTGTGGTTGCTCTTCCTTTGGGCATCACAGAAGGCTCCTACTCTACACATGGTTTCTAAAGATATCTACTTATTTGTTAGTTAGTTCAACTGTTACATACAAAATTTATGAAACAGCCTGCATGGTATCAGTTAAGTCTAGTTTTCACTGGGTATAATAAAAACCCAAATAATTAAATTCTTTCCTCAAATGTTGTGTTTAAAATACACAATGGGTTACAAAGGCTGGAGGTGGGGAGAATGAGGAGATGATGGTCCAAGGATATAAAATCTCAGACTGCAGGAATGTGGAATTTTTTTCTTTTGTTGAGTTCTATTACACAACCTGGTGAAAATAGTTAATAATATAGTGCTGTACATTCCAAAATCTAAATTTTAAATATTCTCACCATAAGAAATGTTAAGTATTTGAGGTAATGAATATGTTAACTGGCTTAATTATTCCACATTGTATTAATAAATTATAACATCACTTGTACCCCATAAATTTATACATGTATAAATTGTTCATTTACAATAAAAACGTTAATTGCTCATTTACAATAAAAAGTTCATTTACAATAAAAGTTCTCTGTTAAAAGAAAAAAGAAAACACACGCTCACAATGATATTGATTCCAAAGTGATTAAGATACTAACATCTTTGTCTTCAGCTGTTATAAATGAACCTAAATAGAAAGTAGTATTTGCTAAGAAACTTATTTGGAAATATAATTATAATTTTATAAATGCAATGGCCAATGACTAATAAGAATAACATTATGAATATAATGTCATGATAGATACGCTATTGCTATTATTTTAAATCTTACTGTTACCATGGCTATGAATACTGAACAGCTTTACTGGTAACCAAGGTTTCAATCATACTTTGATTACACCCTTTTTTTTTTTTGGAGATGGAGTCTCTCTGTTGCCAGACTGGAGTGCAGTGGCGCAATCTCGGCTCACTGCAACCTCTACCTCCGGGGTTTAAACAATTCTCATGCCTCAGCCTCCCAAGTAGCTGGGACCACAGGTGTGTGCCACCATGCCCAGCTAATTTTTGTATTTTTAGTGGAGACAGGGCTTCACCATGTTAGCCAGGATGGTCTTGATTTCCTGACCTTGTGATCTGCCCACCTTGGCCTCCCAAAGTGCTGGGAATACAGGCATGAGCCACAGCACCCAGCCTGATTATGCCTTTTATAGAAACATTGAGCTTCATGTGTTTTGTTTTGTTTTTTTTGATGTTGAAATATAATTTCTGGCTATGGCTACTAAGAAAAAAATCAGACAAAAATGCTGTGGTATGCGAGAAACTGTTATTCTAGAAACTATTAATTTTACAATAATATGCTAGAAGGAAAACTAAAACAAAGATAATTTCACATGTATAATTGATAGCAAGGTCTTTGTCAATTGCAAAAACAAATGTTTGCTCACTTCTCAATTATGATTATCAAGCAGAAATATTTAAATGTGGTTTAAAAGATGAAATCACCTTCCTTCTCTTAATTTACTCATACTTTACACACAGTTCAACAGTTGCTTATATATTTATGGTTTTCAGATTCTTCAAATATTTCAAAATAGTAAGTATTCAAAAGATCCTCTTTTCCAATAATTATTTGGATATGCAGTTTTTACCTATCAATTTGGAGTATCAAGTTAGGAGCCTACAAAGCAGTGAATTAACTGACTGGTACACATGAACTTTAAAATCATCCTATGTACACATAATTGTTTAAAAATTATCACAAATTCTTTAAATTATGATCTGTGATTCTGTATATTTTGGTTAGTTCAAGTAGAAATTGAGAAGGAAATAGAAGGAACATATTAGAAATGTATGTATATATATGCATGTGTGTTTATATATGCACATATATATTTATATACATACATATAGTGTTAGAATACACACACACATCCAACATGAATTGGGACAGCTAAATAGGATGTTACAAAAATATAAAATGTATGTTGCTCATTGAATTCTATATTAACCTTACATATTATGCTTTTAATTTTTCATATTAGTTAAACACAATTGAGACTGTGAAAGTCTTCTCTGAATACTAGCTGTATACTAAAGTGCACACAAAACTTCAAACTCAAAAATAATTTCCTTCTATCTTTTTCCCCTCAAAAATATATGGAAAACTAAACAATTTTACTGATTGAAACATCACTTAGAAGTCTGCCAGAGGCTGACACCATCTCATATATTTTGTCCAGAGTTTATGTCTTTAAAGTTTCATACTGATAGGGTTTCTTAAACACAGCTATCATTAGGTTCTTTATCACACCATGAAACACTGCTGTAGAATGTTTAGTCATGGTATAAATTAATGAAAAAATGGGTTCGTTTATAATTTTTTGTTTGATATTTTCAAAATTTTATTTTGACCCGTAAGAGTCTCTTTTTCTTTTTCTTTTCAGTGTGAGCTCTATGTTGAAGAACTTCCCATTTTCAGCCCTTAGCTGCCTTTTACTGTTTAATATCTACATTCTCACACTGACTGTTTTCCTTGCAGCAACCAATCTGGTAGGCACGAAACATTAATATTTCCCACCTGTCAATTAGGTTTGAGTAGATAGTAATAAAAAATGCAATTTAAAGTAGAATTTGCTGCATATTTTTAAATATCAAACTACTTTAATGCTTTTTGTTATATCAGTTCTGTACAATGTTCAAGCAGATTTTTGGTAAATATATGTTTGGCTTTACATTTTATTCCACAGCTTATATTTTCACCAATGAATACGTTAAACATCATATTTTTTAGTTGCAATTTTCTTCTAACTTCAAAAATTAGAGTACCATGAATTTTAGTGATTCTGGACCCTTCATTTTCATTTGGCAATTCATAAAATTTTCACATTTTTCTATACAAAGACACTGAAGTTAATCCTTGGAAATAAAAAGGATTGACTTAGTGTGAAAAATGTGAGTAGAGGGAGACAGATGGTGACCTGAACTTGGGGGAGAGAGAGAGACTATTTGAAAGACTCAGGTATTCTACTTTCAACACCCCTTTATGGTCCTTGGGAGTGTATTTTATCGTCTATTTCAAGGTAAAAATGTAGATGTCACCCAAAGAAAATGTTTAGTTTGAATATAAAGCTCTTTTCTCCCACCACGTTTCAAGAGAAGAAGAAAGATTTGGTAAACCCAATTTACTAAAGCAAAACCATCTCCTACTTTTTTCTTGCTCTTGCTTTCCAACAATAAAGCAAATTTTCACATAAAAATGCTAATTTTCAAAAACTAAAAAACCAAAGTATATTCCCAAACATTTTTATGGAATCCCACAACAGCATACATATTCATTCTACATTAAAGAATATTATCCCATCTTTTTGTAGAATAAACATATATCTATCAGAGAATTTTTCCACACTTTAGCTTGCAACATCAGACCACTACAGAAAGGCTCTGCTCTAATAATGGGTGGGAAAATGAAATGGACACAATCACTGAAAACTAAAATGATAAGATATGTTAAGTTGAAACCTGTAGGTCATATATTAATAAAATGATATCACAGTTTTCTGTTTTACTTGAGAATTTTCTTGAGATTCTTTAGAAGGCACATGCTGCTATTAAATAATCTTAAGGTTTTTTTTTCTTTCTGTCCTTGAAAGTCTTTATTTGCCAAATCATGGTAGGCAGCCAGGTTGCATTTGGGTAAGTAGTCTTTTTAGAATAAAACTCGGAAACACATGAGTGCACTTAAAGACGGGAAATATAAAACAAAGAGAACCCCCCCAACAGATTGGTGTACTTGAGGTGCCACAGTGATATTCATTCACCCATTTATGAAGCAACTCGTATATGCCAAAAAATCTACAATTTTCTCTTCAGGATTAGCAATGCAAAAATGAAAGAAAAACAAATTTAAGAGACAAATTAAATATATTCTTGGTATCAGTGTGCTTACTGTTTATTTAAGAAGACAACAAAATCAAGTGACTCCAAAATACTATGACAAGTGCTTATAAGCAATTGAAAAGGAGAGAAGTAATTAGAATTTGTAGCAAATTAGAAAACAGGGACCACAGCTATTTCAACTCTATGTTCCTTTGCTCATACTGTGTCCCAGCTTTGCCATATTTTATTGTATAATCTTAGGTAAGTTTTCTATAATGTAAAATAGGATAACAGAATTCTTGTGTGGATTGATGACGTAATGCTGATCAGCTCATGTCAGTACAACATTAAATGTTTAATCAATATCTGAGATCCATGTTCACTCTAAATAATAATATAAATGTACTCAATTTGCAATTATCCAGGAACAAATCTGTAAGTCTACAGGTTGACAAAAGAAATGTACTCACACAACTTAGAAAGGCATCCCTTGATATAAGGGATATCAAACTATTGATATTATACTGTGTTAACTGCAATGAGGGAAGCCTAGTTCATTGCAATCAGAATGTAGCCCATGGAGTAATTCCCTTCTGCTTTACCAGAAACTCCTGGCAAATCAAAGAAGAGTGGACTGACGATCAAAAGCACAGGGAGATGTCTGTGGCTATGGCAGCCTCTCTGCAGAATCAGGGAAAGAAAAGTGGAGAAGCCAGTGGAAAAGAAAAGAAACATTCTGGCAGCATGTGGGTAGGACTCTTTTCTAACTAATTTGGTCCTATTCTAATATTTCAATATCCTCTTTTTCTAAAGAAATTAGTTTTTAATTAAGAGCTAGAAATCAATACATGATCATTCTCAATTACACCTAGCCTTTGGTTTTTCTAAATCAAACAATCTATATGTTGATTAATGCTTCTAAACTATTTGACTAGCATCATTTCTACATTTGTGGTGACAAATGAAAAGCACTAAATGTTTTCTTAAATTCTGGATATAATTTTAACCGTTTAAGTTTATATTAAATACCTTCTTCATGCCATTTTGGCATTCTGAACTCTTTTTCACCAAAACTCTCTCTCTTTCCCCACGCCCTGTCAAGAACTGTAAGGGTGTACAGTTTGTGAGATTTTACCATACATGCCAGTATTATCTGTCCAAAATTTAATTTCACGAATAAGACACAAGATCCCTGGGTCAGAGTTAAAGAACTTTACTACTCATGGCAACAATAATAACCAGAGTGTCAGCATTTGCATGGGTTCTTTGAGCCCTAATTTTCATTAGGGTGACACAGAGAAGAATCCTGAGCTTGAGAATCTGAATCATTTAAAGTGGAAAGTAAGCCTGCCTGACTTTTGCACCAGAGATACACATTAATAGAGTGGAAAGTGAACAAACCCACTTTGTGCTCAAGTGAGAGACTGCATATATCTTCTGAGACAGAAATTCATATATATACTTCCCTGTAAAGGTAGTTTGAAGTCAAATACAGTCAGTGCCTCCGTTTACAAGACTTGCAGAAACACAAGAGATTATTTATTTTGACACAGTTTATGAGACAAAGTTTTACTCTTGTTGCCCAGGCTGGAGAGCAATGGCTCAATCCAGCTCACCACAACCTCTGCCTCCAGGGTTCAAGTGATTCTCCTGCCTCAGCCTCCTGAGTAGCTGGGATTCTAGGCATGCACCACCACACCTGGCTAATTTTGTATTTTCAGTAGAGACGTGGTTTCTCCACGTTGGTCAGGCTGGTCTTGAACTCCTAACCTCAGGTGATCCACCCATCTTGATCTCCCAAAATGTTGGGATGACAGGCATGAGCCAACACGCCCAACCTATGCATTTTTTAATATTAGTTGTGTGATGTGGGTTTTAAAAAGGTCCCCAGTCTACCTGTCGTGGCTCACACCTGCAATCCCAGCACCTCGGCAGGCAAAGGTGGGAGGATGGTTTGAGACCAGGAGTTTGAGAACAGCTTGGGCAACTTAGTGAAATCTTGTCTCTACAAAAAACAAACAAACAAACAAACAAACAAAAAAATCCCCTTCAATGAGTTTATTTGCTACATAAGGATAATGATTATTATACATAATTGAAATAATAGAAATCCTCCTATCTGAAGCAATTGAGACTGGTATCTGATATGTTAAGCAAAAAAGATGGCTAAACTAAAGATTCATAAAAGAGACCTTAAATATTTTATTTTAATTTAAAACATATAAATGTGCCTTCATTTTCTCATCTTTGGAAATGAAGCTAAGCCTTTTCTATGAGTGATTTTAAAGACTGAGTGTTCATATCTACAGTGCAACAGTTTCCGTTTCATGAAGTTGGAACAAACAACACTTGGGAAACAATACTCGGGAGGAATCCTGAGATTTTTATGGCTTTTTAAAAGTTATTTAGTATTGCTCACACCTAATTTGATAGCAATTTTTTAAAAGTGATAGCATTTATTAACTCTTTCCAGGACATTCGACTAGTTTTCATAGAAACAACTCTTGTTGCACTCATACTCATCAGTTTACATAATGCTGCATAGGATTATAGAATCACAAGAGGCTTAAATAGGTTCTGGAAGAAATACAACAGATGCCTGAGGAACATTAATTTGTGGTAGATGCTATCCTCAGGCATATTTAATAAATCCCATTAGCTCCAAGCAATACTAGGGGCCTGGGAATCAGTTACTGTGTTCACAGAGAGAATGCAAGCATCATTTAAATCATAGTGAGCTATTTAAGGGTGATTAAAAGACAGTCCATTGTTTTCTTATGTTTTCTTCACAGCATCCATTACAGACAAGAATCTGTGAATTGAGTCTGGTGAAAATGCTGGAAGGAGAGAAGAGCTAGAAAGAGCTACATAGGTGAATGGAAAACATGCTGTGGAGAGTATATCATCTGTCACATGAATCTCCTGGTCGCTGGATTTTTGCGACTCAGCATTTCTGAGAAGTGAAAACATAAAAGTGCCCACATTCTGAGAACTGCAATGGCATTTCAGAGGGAGGAAAATTGAACTTACCTGGGACCTCACCATCTGTGAGCCATCATGCATTTCTCCTCTATGCTCTCCTCCTGAAAAAAAAATGGCATTCTGAGAAGGCATAACTAGGAAAAAGAGAAGCATCTTGTTAATACACAATATAAAGGCTAAATGCAAATCCTAGTGCTTCTGCTTTGTGTAGGTACAGCAGACCCTACAGAGAAGCCCTCTAAGACATAAGCTTAAAGGCTGTGACATCCCTACTCCTCTATGACACTGGGGAATTCAATGTAGGACTGTCTTCAGTGGTGCAGCTCCCCTTGTTGTGGCCTATGGGAGCTCAGGGGTTTTCAGCCCTAGCTAAATGCTGGTGGAAATTTAAAAAGAAGCCAGTGCTCAGCCCCAACAGAGAGTTGGATTTAATTAATCTGGGGTGGGTCTGAGCAACAGCATTTTAAATTTTAAAGTCTCCAAGTGACTCTAAGTGTAGATGAGAACTACTGGGAAGAGACGATGGAGAGGACATCGGTGAGGGCCCATTCTTACTCTTCATCCCCACAAAAAATAAATTCACCCCAAAACATACACTCCAGAGATCTGCCTCTCCTCTCCTCTAAGATGATACTTCCAATATATGAAGGAGACATCACTATTCTCATTTTCCCAAGTTTTTACCTTCCTTTTTGAGTCTCTGCAGTCAGTCTTCCACTGGGATTACACCTCCCTGTAGTTCTTATGTTGTAATGTCACCAAAGCTCTGTTATCTTCTACATGGCAGTCAGGAGATGCACCGGGACCAGTGGCTTCAGGAACTGGGGTAACTCCTGAAAGTTGATTTTCAGTGCCTTATGGGGAACAGCCACTCCCTGGTACTAAAGATGCCCGCTCTCTAATGAGAGCCTCAGGAGCCGACGAATAGACACATGAATGATTTCTGCTTCCAGGGGTGGCCACTCTCAGAATCTTGCCTTGTTAGTGCCGAGCTAAGATACAGGGGTTCTTCAAGGTGGTCATTACCTTTTTTTTCCTCCCTAAAAGTATCAATTCTTCATTTACAGACTTCATTATGGAATTCAAATCTGCGTCCTGGCAGGGATCTTGTAAAACAGAATTTCAGGTTGAAGACCTGTAATGAGTTGCACCAGGGTCAGCAGAAGAAAGCCAGCAGTTTCAGCCACCTGCAGGCTTACAGACTCTGTAAAGAGACATATGAACTATTCATTTGGACAGACAGAGCACAGTAAGGTTTGGTGTTTTTTAATCAAAAAGTAGTTTTAGAATTTCTCAGATTCACACATTACAAAAGGCAGAGATGTGTGCATGTGTCAATGACAGCAAATTCAGCCTCAGTCCTTTCCTAACCTTTTCAGAACAGAGAACACATGCATTTTGCCTAGAGAAACAGTGACTGGCTGGCCAGGCGTGGTGACTCACACCTGTAATCCCAGCACTTTGGAAGGCCAGGGCGGGTGGATCATGAGGTCAGGAGTTCAAGACCAACCTGGCCAAGGTGGTGAAACCGTCTCTACTAAAAATACAAAAATTAGCCAGGCATGGTGGCCAGCACCTGAAATCCCAGCTACTTAGGAGGATGAGGCATAGGATTGCTTTAACCGGGGAGGTGGAGGTTGCAGTGAGCCCAGATTGTGCCATTGCACTCTAGCCTGGGTGAAAGAGTGAGATTCTGTCTCAAAAAAAAAAAAAAAAGAAAGAAAGAAAAGAAAAGAAAAAAGAAACAGTGACTGTTTTCTTTAGAAAGATGGAAAAACACATGTTACAACAGAGTAAGATTGTACTGATTTGCTAATAATCATGAAGGAATACATTCTTATTCTGTTCACAAAGGTTCACCTGAGAAATCTTTTTTAAAATGCATATGATGGAAATAAAGAAGCCATTTCTGAGGAGCAATTTTTTTTTGAGACAGAGTCTTGCTCTGTCACCCAGGCTCTAGTGTGGTGGCACGATCTCGGCTCGTGGCATCCCCCGTCACCTGGGATCAAGCGATTTCCCTGCCTCAGCCTCCGAAGTAGCTGGGACTACAGGCGTGCTCCACCACACTTGGCTAATCTTTTTGTATGTTAGTAGAAATGGGGTTTCACCATGTTACCCAGGATGGTCTTGGTCTCCTGACCTCATGATCCACCTGCCTTAGCCTTCCAAAGTGCTGGGATTAAGGGCATGAGCCACCACACCCAGCCAAGGGCAATTTCTTAAAAGAGAAAACTGCAGTTTCAGTAAAATGGCCCTGAGCGATGGGGCAGCCTTTCACGGCCCAAGGCATGGCAGGAATCTAACATTTCAAAACCCCTTCACTAAGAGGCAGACCTTTCAGGAGTGAGTTGAAAGCACTTTAAGAAATAGGTTATTCATTCCCCAAGCATAAGCTTGGAAGAAGCCCCACAGTCAGGAGAAGCAGACAGGGTTTTCCCCAAGATGGGCAACCAGAGATGGCAGAGCCAGTTCTCCCCAGAAAGAACCAAAGTTACAGGTGAGTGACGGTGGCCAGAGGGGAAGCCTGAGGGAAGAGTACTGGAACCTGTCAGAGAACCCACGGATGGAAGCTGGGGTGCAGTGGAGCGGGGCATAGTGGCTCACGTTTGTAATCCCAGCACTTTGGGAGGCCGAGGGAGGCGGATCACGTGAGGCCAGGAGTTTGAGACCAGACAGGGCAACATGATGAAGCCCTG